TGTCACACAGCAAGGACCTGTCTGCCTCGGGGGAAAGCTAAGAGCAGAGGAGCTGGAAGTGCAGCTCAGCTCTGGGCACTGGCACAGCACACAGGTTGTGTGAGGCTTTGGGTTTGATCTCTAGCACTGTAAAGGGAAGAGAAAATAAAGAGAAGGAAAAGGGGAGGAACCCTTAGACTTCACTGTTGATTTAATTCACCTCCATCTAGAACTGTGTCTCGGCGGGGGGGGGGGGGGGGGGGGCACGCCTTTAATCCCAGCACTTGGGAGGCAGAGGCAGGCAGATCTCTGTGAGTTCAAGACTAGCCTGGTCTACAAGAGCTAGTTCCAGGACAGGCTCCAAAGCCACAGAGAAACCCTGTCTCAAAAAAAAAAAAAAAAAAACAAAAACAAAAAACAAAACACCTAGAAATGTGTCTCAGGGATTGTACTTTTTTCTGCACACTGTACCTGCTTGCTACCTAAGTATGAGCTGTAAGCAGTGTTTCTCCGGTAACATTCACTTCCAGGTTACCCCAGTCAATCGCTCAGCACACACCTTTTCCCTAAAATCAGGTATCTTCATACACCATGCACCGTCTTTCGCATACTACACAAAAGTGTACACAAAACCCAGGACCGTCCCAAGGCAGGCAAGCCATGCACTCTGGCCCTGCATCACCCACTCCAATGGACAAACAGGCCCGCGGCTGAAGACATGAGGACGACAGTCTACCCTAAGCAACCCCCACACACTGCACAGCATGGCACATGCCCTTCAAAGCCGGTGTAAGGGCTGACACACAACAGGAAACATGCTCGGTATAACTCGAGCCACTGTACCTCAGGAATGTCCCTCTCGTGGGTTTGAGGAGGAAGGCGCATTTCTCTTGATGCCCATTGGAGAACGGATCTGAGATGCTGATAGGTGCGTCCTCTATCCTGGTGGAGCCCACGTCCCCCTGGCACAGGGGGCAGCATTGGGGTACACTGAAACTGTAGATGGACTTCTCACAGTGCCTGAACTTAATAAGAGGCTTTCCGGACCCTGCGAAGTGCATCCCTCTGAAGCCTGGGCCACCAGCACAGGTTTCTGGCAACTTCCTGTTCTTCGTCACACAGTTGGTAAACACACACCACCTGTGTAATCTGATCGATGGTGACATCATCATGGATGGAAGTTTCAAAAGCTAAGCCAGGTAGATTAACCAGTAACTAGGCTCTAGTCGCTGGGCTCTTAAAGAGCTAGCGTTCATTTGAGCTGCCTTACCGAGTTTCTTTGTAGACGCTACACTTTCGCAGCCCCGCTTTCCCATGCAACCTGCCTCGCCATCCCTCAACCTTTGCCAGTGGGACCAACAGGAGGCCCATTGCCACTGCCTTCCTGATGGAAGATAAATTGTTATAGTCCATTTCCAGTGTTCGGCGGCCTCAGAGGCCATCAGAGAGTCTTCAGATAAACAGGGCACTTCCTCCCTCTCCTCTAGCTGGCAGCCGGTGCTCAGGAGACTCCGAACTCTGAAAGTAAGAAAATCATGGGCAGTATGCTGCCTGACTCAGCCCTCCTTCAGAAAGGGGGCAGTCTCAAGCCCCAAATTATTCATTAGATAAGTCTTTGTGTCCTGAGCCAATTGAATGGGACTTTAGAGAGGAGGTAAGTCCTGACCTTAAGGAAAAGGGAGCAGGAATTCCTTGTGATTATGGGGACTTTAAAAACTACTGTTTTATGTCAAATCAGCAGGAGGCCATTTTTGCCTTTTCCCAATGCTAATGTCCTGTCTCCAGAATGGTATATTAAAATCTGCTTTGTTAGCTGGGCAGTGGTGGTGCACACCTTTAATGCTAGCACTGGGGAGGCAAAGGCAGGCAGCAGATCTCTGAGTTGAAAACCAGCATGGTCTACAGAGTGAGTTCCAGGAAACACAGAGAAACCCTGGCTCAAAAAACAAAAACAAAACAAACTGCTTTGTTTTCGCTAGTCTCTTGAATCTATTATCTTACTTCCTACATTTCCTTCCTTCCTCTCTCTTTCCCAGATAAACAGACTGTAATTGTTTCCCCAAAGCTTCATTTCCCCCAGACATATTCATCTTACAATGTATATAAATACAACAGCCAACCCAGTGTACATTAAATAATAGTAAAAAAAATTTAAATCTGTCGCAGAAGGAGGGGGGCTCTTGCTGAGCACCTGAGAGACCAGCAGTACACGGTGTTCTCAAGGCCACCAGCCAGGGTCCCAGCAGAGTGGCCGCTTGCTCTCAGCAGTCATCCTCAAATACTTGAAATAGTTCAAGGGGGTTTTATTGTTGTTGCTTTTCTTTCTTTTATTTCCTTTAGCGTTTAGAGTAGCCAGGCCTGTCTTGTAGCAGGTAGAGCTATGGGACAGAGGAGGAAGGATGTAGGGACCCACGAATCGGCCTCGCTCCACACACAGCATTCACTAGTAATGGGTGCAGTGGCACCTGGATGGGTAAGGAAGGAAACTTGTTTCGGAGTTGTGTTCCTAGCTGTGTACAAAATGCTGCATTCTCATCAGACTCTATTGAGGTGTGCCAGCTACCAAACGGCCTGCGTCCTGTCACCGGCAGGGTGGGTCTGCCTGACCACTGGTCGTGGAGCGAGCCCCCTCACATAGCCTCCGGAGAGGGTGGAGACACAGCCAAGGAAGGCAAAGTTGTCTTTAAAGAAGTTAGGAGGCTGAGGCCTGCTGTTCCTTCTCGAAGTCCCTGTGCGCAGCCCTGTTGTTTCAGCTTTGAAGCTTGACACCCATACAGAAAGTCTCTGGGGAGTGTTAGCAGCAGACGCTTCCCTGAGCAGACTCCTCTAACTTGCCTCTGGCTCTTTGTCAGTTTTCTCTAGACTGACCAGTTTGCGGTTTTTGTTTTTTTTTTTTTTTTTTTTTTTTTTTTTTTTTTTTTTTTTTTTTTGTTTTT